GAAGGAAGGAAGGAAGGAAGGAAGGAAGGAAGGAAGGAAGGAAGGAAGGAAGGACAGACCAATGCACCTTCCATACAGGTAGACCTTGGATTTATGAGCACTTGTTCAGTGACTACTCAAAGGTATGATGGTGCTGAACGAGGGGGACTATGACTGGTCTGTGAAGCTGTGGCCATCCCAGCATCCCCATGGTCATGTGATTGTGATTCAGGCACTTGGCAACTGGCTCGCAATTACACCATCTCGTTACAGCATCTCACATCATGAGATGTGAGATGCTGTAACGCATTTACAGCATCTCGTTACAGATGGTTACAGCATCTCACATCGTGAGATCACTATCTGCAACCTTCCCTGATGGTTGCCCACAAGCAAAGTCAATGGGGAAGCCGGCCGGAGGTTGCAAGTCACTCCTGCTCCTGCCGCTTTTTCACCCACCTGCCTGCATGCCCATGGCACCCACCCACTTGCCTGTAGCTCTCACCTGGAGTTCTCACCCACTGGCCTGCTTGCCTTCCCATGTCACAGTCACGTCAGGTCCTCGCTTAACAACCCACGTATTCCTGGGGTTATGACAGCAACTGGGACTGCCATCGTTAAGCAAAGTGGTCACATGATATAGGGCTTTATACCGCATCACTTAGTGATGGAAGTTCCGGTCCCAACTGTAGTCATAAGTTGAGGACTACCTGTAATCAGAAGAGGCTCAGATAGACACCTCCCTAAGTCACAGGAGTATAAGAAAGGGGGAGGAGGTACAACACAATCAGACTTGCAAGATTCTCTTATTACATCCAGTCTCAATAAAAAAAGTTTTAGTCTTCCTGTGGAATTAATTTCTTAGTCTGGTCTACCAAGCGGGGCTGACACCCAGGGACCTTCCATGGCTAAGATGTGACTGGAACTTGGGTATCCCCAGTCCTAGGCCAGTATTTCACCACTACAACACAACACCTCTGTCTAACAGGAAGGCAATCCAAAGAATGGCCCCATAGCAGAAGAGGCCCCCTACTCTACATTGGTTTCATCCCTTTCAATTGCAGGAAGAATAAGGCTGCAGGGAGATGATGAATGAACAGGTAGTCCTCGATTAGTGACCACAATTGGGACTGGCAACTCTGTTGCTAAGAGCCACAGTCACTAAGCGGAAAATCATGTGACCACAACAGGCTTATGACCTCACTTCCCCTTTGGTCATTAAGCAAATCACTGTGGTTGTTAAGTGAGACATCACATGACCATAACTTATGATTTTATTTCCATCTTCTCCATTAACTCTGCTTGTCACAAGCTGGTTGGGAAGCATGCAAATGGCAATCACGTGACCACAGGACTCTGCGATGGTCATAAATGCGAGGATTGGTCGCAAGGCTTTTTTTTTTTTGGTAGCATTGTTGTAACTTCAAAAGAAAGTTGCATGCTGGTCCCAAGCCCAGATAAATGGGGAGGGTTGAGGTAAGACCTGGCAACCTACCTTGTAAAAACCTTGCCAAGAAAATTTTATGGAAAGGTTCTCAAATGAATCAGATATGGTGCCCAATGGTAGGACCCCCAGACCAGAAGGTACCCAAGAAGCTACTGAGGAAGAGCAAGGACCTGAAGTGAGTAGTCAAGGCATTAATGATGTGCCTGGGGCAAATCCAGCAGGAATCCCAGCTGCTGATGCAGCCATTGGTGAAAGCAAGGGTCTGCGCTGCACGAAGACACATCAGATAGCAACATGGAATGGCCGAGGAATGAGCCCAGGTAAATTGGATATCATCAAACAGTAGATGGCCAGGTTGAAAATCAACCTCCTTGGTGTAAGCAAGCTATACTGGGTGGACAACTGCTATTTCCAGTCTGAGGAATTCACTATTACTCAGGACATGACACCAGGAAAATGAATGGAGTGGCATTTATCACAATCAAGAAACTCGCCCAAGGAGTGGAAAGCTTCTCAACAGTTCATGATTGCATTATGACCATCTGAATCTGTTCCAAGCCCCTCAAAATCACAGTCCAAGTCTACGCCCCAATGACTGATGCAAGAGCTCAAAATAGAGGATTTCTATGCTAGTATCGAAAGAACTCGGAAGCCAGTGCCTAAAAAAGGCATGGTTTACATACTGGGTGATTTCAATGCAAAAGTTGGCAGCCAACAGGAAACAGGCATCACTGGCAGCTTTAGACGTGGGGAGGAGAATGACGCAGGCGATCGTCTGGTTCAATTTTGCAAAGAAAATCGATTTTGAATCATGAACACCTGGTTCAAACCACACAAGTGTCGCTTATACGTTTGGACCTCACCCAATAAACTGCACCGTAATCAGGTCAACTATGTCCTATGCAGCCATCGATGGACCAGTTCAGTCCTCGATGTCAAGATATATCTGGGTGCCAACTGCGATTCAGATCATGAATTGATGGTGGCTAAGATCAGGGTCAAGTTATGCAAGATCAAAATGACCGCACCACCAAAGAAGTCTGACATCCCTTCCACGTGCATAATGGAGGTGAAAAACAAGTTTGAACTGCTGGACACTGCTGAGACGAACTGTGGCAAGAAATTCAACTGACCATCACTGAAACAGCAGTTGAACACATACCACACAACAAGCCACAGAAAAAGTACAAGCGGCTCTCCGATGAAACCATCAGAATAGCCGAGCACAGAACAGCAGGCAAGGCAGCAGGCAAACGGGAGGGAGCACAGAGACTGAATGTGGATTTCCGAAGAGCAGCAAGAAAGACAACGAAGTTCACTGGGACCAGCATCGCATTGGACTCATGACCATATTGCAAATCTATGCTGGATCATGGAAAAATCTCAAGGATATCAAAAGAACATCTACATTTGCTTTGTAGACTACAAGAAAGCCTTTGACTGTGTTGATCATGACAAGCTGTGGAGAGCCGTAGAAGACCTGGGGGTGCCAACACACCTGGTCAAGTTGGTGCAGTCACTGTACACAAATCAGGAAACCACTGGGAGAACACCGTATGGAGACACTGACTGGTTCAAGAAAGAGAAAGGAGTAAAGCAAGATTGCATTCTTTCACCTTTCTTATTCTACCTGTATGCTGAAGTGATTGCAAGGAAGCTGGAACTTAAAGAATCAAAAATCAGAGTAAAGACTGGAGGAAGAAACATAAACAATCTTC